ACATTTAATTGACGGATAATCGTCGAACTATGTCACAGTGTATTATTATACAATTTAAACATTGGACAGGGTGACAGTCTACCTATAAGTTTCTATTGTACTTATTTGTAACATTTGTTATAGTCGCTCCAACAGGCTAGCTTACTTCAATTTCACACTCAATTTGCTGCCTTCACGAATCATGCATGAGAGGCACTCCGCTTGACATTTAGCGCCTTGAATTGTATTTTATATTGAAATGATGTGATTTTTGAACCTCGGTTTCAAATACCTACACTTTCTGATTTATACAGAGAATTGGTTGTAAGTAGAAGGCTGTAGAACTATGTTACTTTGATTAAATTGATTTGTCCGGCATTGTCGCTATCCTTTTTAACGACGACTATTTGGCAAGCTTCAACAATGAACCATGTGAAGATGGTAATCTGTATCAAAATGGATGGTGATTTTCTTGCCAATTATATGATACTCTACATCGAACGAGAATTTACTATGAATTTAGAAATAGATTCTATTATAGATGAATTTTATACTGTGAAATCTTATCGGGCACAACTTTAGTGGTGAAGGTGATATTCAGGGGTGGAGCCCAATAAAGTCTAGTGGAGGCTCAAGCCTGCACTGAACTTTTAAGAACAACCCAAAGGCGACATGTTTTTATTTATTTTTTAAAACTAATGCCCACATTTGTAACCAATAAGTGAAGCCCAATAGCATATTATCATTCGATTTCGATTTCAATTTCAATTTCAAGAAAACCAATACCCTATCCTTCTTCCTCCAGCTTTCTGTCTCCTCCTCCTTCCAGTCCCAGCTCAACTCAATTTTCGACGCTTCCCCGCCATTCAACTTTCGTTTCTGCTCGTATATCTCCTGCTCCGTCGGACCATACCTATACAGCTTTTCGAGCCTTAGACGACAGTAGACTAGGCGACCACCTGCGATTCTTCAGCAGCAGCAGAAGAAGAAAGTGAAACCCCGAACCTGAAGCATGTACTCGTTTTTCTTTTCTTATTTTTGGTTATTTTGATTTGTATAAATTGTAATAATGTTTGATTTTTTTTTCCTTTTTAACATATGAAATTAGCACTNNTTTTTAACATATGAAATTAGCACTTTGCTCTTCAATTGCTCAAAACCTACTGCCTACAAATTGCTCTTCAATTGATTTTGCTACCACACTTCTAGTTCCTTCCAGTACTGCTGCCTCTATGACTGTGAGTTGCTTACTCTGTCACTGTCAATCTGTGATTTGTGAAATGTGAATTGCACAAGTTCTGAAAATAGTAATATAGTATTGCCTTGTGATTTGTGAATTGCACTTTGAATTGATTATAGTACTGCCATGTTAATTGCTTATAGTATTGCTATATGAATTGCTTTGCTGTGCTTTGGCTTCCAGTATTTGTGATTCTGCTTCTGTCATTATGAATTACTCCCAATAGTAATTGAATATCAAATGTTTAAATTCAGATATCAAAAGAAGAGATTCTTTAAAAAAAAAACGAATGTAGAAAATGTCGATGGGGGAGTGGCGTTGATAAAATTGTGTCGCACTGAACGAATTTCCTGGCTACGCCCTTGGTTATATTATCACTTTTTGTTATATATGAACCTTATTCGTACATTAACTTTTTAAAAAAATTGCCCCATGCAACGTAAATTCCTGACTTCGCCTGGGAAGCAAGTAATATTGAAATTGACATAACATTTGATTTGGGTCAATCTTTGTTAATACTTAATAGTAAAAAACAAGTAAAAAGATTAAAGTCGAGCAGTTTTATTCATATCCACACTAAACACGAGTTACAAATGAAGTGACGAGAATCCTTCACCAAACATTAACCAAAGCACTGCTACAAACATATGAAGTAAACACTAGAAATACCAAGTAGTCGAGCCAATAGATGTGACACATTCGTGGTCCGAGCTTAATTAGTTGAGCTGGAATGCCGTGTCATAAGCAATTCCAGCTTTCCAATCACTGGGAATGGCACTGGTTAATTGCACCAACTTCACTTCCGCGTTGGCCTCGGCCACCACCTGAAGTCTGAAGTTGAGAGGCCCTGCTGGTGGGTTTTGAAGATCGAATACTGTTCCAAAGACTCTTCGCATTGGCCACCATTCCTTGCAATCCTCCTAACAACATCAATGACCAAGTTACTTTTCTAGAAAGTAAATATTTATTTAAAAATCATGTTACTAAAAGTTAAAAATAAAAATTTATTTGACTTAAAAGAGTATATACCAGCCATATTTCAACAGCGATGATATCATACATTCCCTCTTTGTACAATGGCACTACTGCCAAGTAGTGAGGGTAATTGCTACGCTCGTGGACTTTTAGGAAAAGATTATAACGATAACGACAGGGAATTCTTTGGTATTCGATGTCAACTACGCCGTACGCAAATAGTTCTTCAGCCATGTTGGGTCGAGCCAATTTTGCGTACGCACGTGTACTCAGTATGAAGTCTGTATGGTCTCCCTCGCCATAATCCGTCACCACTACCTTCACTCCTTCGTCGCTGCAGTGTGCTGGGATTCTGCACCTTACCTAATTCATGTAGTCATTGAAGCATCAGCTTAGGGGAGAAAATAAGCATAAGCCAAAAAAGTAGTAATTGCTTTTTTTGTCCACTGTTAAAAAGATGATTTTAAGTCCAAGAGGGGGAGGAAAGTAAAAAAAGTAATAAGTAAATGATGCTACATGAAAATTTGAAAGCGACAATTATGTGACACTTAGCTCCTCAATTCGCTACCTAGTTTTAATAAAATACCTTACCTGATAGCAAGCACCGCAACCAGTTCCATTCCTGTAAAGCCTAGAGACTCCAGTGACTTCACCATTGTTGACAGCCTGCCCATATTCACCAAACCCACAAGCTCCATCTAGTAAAATTATGAGAAAAAACCATTTGAATTAGTTACACTCTCACAAAATTAATACAAACTACTGTATACCATATTTGGTAAATGGAGTCAAATAGCATTCTACAGTATTGAGTAAAAATAAATAAAATCTTGTTAATGATACAGTCGAGTACTATTTAATACATAACGTGCATTAAAGGTATCGTAAATAAGACATACTTTCTGTTGCTCGGCATTTCGGGCTACCGTAATAGGTTGCTCTGGAGCAGACAAAAGCATCTTGGCCATGACAAACTGCAGCCAATAGCACTATCAAAGAAAAAAAGAAGCTATAACAAGCCATATTTCAGACAGTTCCAATTCTTTTTATCTTAGAATACAAGATTAGAGTGGACGACGAATGAAAAACCTAGAATGAAAAGGCCATATTTATAGCAGAGCTAGAGCAGAGTATGTGAATAATTCAACTCAACCTTTTTTATGCCACTAATGACTAATAATTCCGAGCGCGGGGACAGTGGGATAGGTGAAACTGGAGATGTGTACAAACTATATGCCTCGGAATCGACTTCTTTAGACCATTTCATTATTGTCAAGGTCTCAACAACTTTGGAGTTCCATCTTAAATGGTAACAATATATATTGACTTTAGCAGTACTTTCAATGAAGTTGATATTTTAAAATAAAACATAGGGTCTGTTTAGCATGATTTTTTCTTTTGCTTTTTTTTTTCGTGAAGGAGCTTTTGAAGGAAAATATCTTAATTTTTGTTTGAAAATTAATTTTTAAAAACATTTCTTATTTCAAAAGTATTTTTAGAAAGAGTCACATTGGACCAACTTTCTCTAAAACTCTTCTAACTAAAAAAATCACTTCTATAAAATTAGTCAAACGGATCCAAAAGCTACTTTTGGGTAGTAAAAGTTCATTTTGACTTTTCAAAAATCATACCAAATGGGCCCATAATATGGTATTGGAGTCAATAAGGACACAGAACAATTCGATTCATCTAGAGTTCAAACGAGCAATCAAATTTTGTGGGATATATTAAGGGTATAACCATATAGTACCTTAAATTGTTTGCTCTTATAATAAATACTAGTGAGAAGCACGTGTCTTACACGTGTCATAATGTAGTTGACTGCGTAATAGCATAAGTATTAAAAAATATATTTATATCAAACATTAGATACATAAAACTTTCTTATAAATTGCTAAATGTTTCGAGCCAACATTAAATGTGGAGATGAACAAAATCACACTCACAGTTATTGAAGAAATCGAGGCTAACCTTCCACCACAACCTCCAGTTATTGAAAAATGACTACTTACGAAACACCGACAGAACAGACATTGCAAATTATATCATAAACCGCAAATCAATTTTTAAACAAAAGAACAG